GTGCTTCCTCAGAATTCCCACTAAACTCTACAAACGACAGCCGTAAACCTATGCTTAACATCTCTCAGGGATTTTGGTATAACTTTCGGCTGGATTGTCCTCATAATAATTAATTTTGCACTGGAGACTAAAAGTTTTCCAATCCAGGTTTCCTCTTTGCAACCGAGGAAAGTGAAGTTATTCTCCAGAACTATACAAACTATATTAAGCCCCACGTTAGTCATGGAATGCGGAAGAGGAAAAAGTCAAACAATAAAGGTAATCCTAACAGTGATCAGCTGATTTATAGCATGTTCTCTCCAAGTTTCACATTAGCTAACTTAATTGTCCAAATGTTTATTCTTGGAGTTCAATATAGGTTAGTAGTGAACTGGAGAGGATTTGCGTCCGTGATGAATGGGTAGAAATGGGTATCATGTAACACAGAAGAATTCTGCTCTGCCTTGGCTAATGAGTTTAGTAAATATACTTCCAGGCTCTTCTGTACCGTGCTGCCAGGTCAGACCCTTGCACTGAATTGCTGCTGTGGTGGCAAAGCCCGGGAGCCTAGCTGTGCCAGTGGCTGGAGCTCAGCTTCCCACTGTAGCAGTGGTAGAGCCTGGGAGCTGTTCTATTCTAATAGCCAAGTTGGCCAAATCTGAGGATACTTAAATCTGGTGGCTGGAGCTGTGAATGAGCAAGATAGATCTTTCTGCAAACCTAAACAGGGCCCTGGGTTTAGAAAAAAATCTGAACACTAAAAAAGAAAAAAATACATTGGGTGGTTAAAAAAAAAACCCCAAATGATTAAAAGGAGTGCCTGTAGCTTTAAAACATGGATTCCCTCAGTGGTTGTTTCTAGGCAACCACAGCATTCCAAGGCTTGGTTTCTGTGAGTAAAAGCCAGGGGGAGGGGGTAGGTTCCTTTCCAGGGCTGTTTTGGCCTATGGGGGAAGAGATCAGAGCCAGGCCTGACAGTAATCACTGGGTAATTTGATTCCAAGTGACTTGCATGACTCATCTAGGCCTCCCTACATGCTGCTCTTCAACACCAGCCTCCTTTGAAAGCCAGTGTTGTGTAGTGGTAAGATCTTCAGAGTAGGATCTGGGAGACCCAGGTTCGAATCCCCATCTTGCTATGGAAGTTCACTGGGTGATATGGGGCCAGTCACCTACTTTCAGCCTAACCTACTTCACAGAGTTGTTAGGGTAAAAATGAGGAGAGGAGAATGATGTAAGCTGCTTTGGCCCTTACTGTGGAGAAAGGTCGGGTATAAATGGAGTAAATAATAAATATAACTGAAGATGGGAGATGAATGGCTGAGAAGGAGATAATGAAGCTAGGAAAGAGGAAAGTATATGAGGGTTGCCAGAAGGAAGGAAAGGGGAAAGTGATGTGCCCCTCCCCCAACACGATCTTGAGTGTTCCCTACCATGCAAGAGGGCCTGGCCCAGTAGCTGGCACCGCACAACTGGTCTGTAGTTTTCCTAGGTAGATGCTACTGGGGAGGGAAGGTATACTGGCTTGTAGGCTCCAAGTGTCAGGTGCCAGGGGTCAGGCAACCCAGGGTTGTTCAGTCCAAGGTCAGGTTCCAAGAATCAGGCAAGGCAAAGTCAGTGGCTTACAGTCTTGGGTGGTTTTATAGCCACTCATCTCAAGGTCAGGCTTGCAGCTAGCTGCTCAGAAGTGATCCTGCAACTTCTCATCTTTGTTATCAGCAAACAGTTGGCGTCGGGCTAGGAAACGTGCACTTTGCTGTCTTGTCTGCAGCTCTGTTCTCAGCCTTCATTTGTGGTGCTCTAAGGGTGTC